CTTCGGGTCTTGCGTCCGGCGACGTGGCTAACACCGTCCCGCACGATCCGTTCTCTCCCCCCAGCCCCAGGGCAGACCTGGGTGCACGGTGGGGTGTTTCCTTTTGGGAGGGTTTTTGTAAGCGGCCCCCTTGGTCTGTGTGAGAGAAAGCCGGCCGGAGGAGTGTGCCTGGCATGGGGAGCAGGGCTGGCGAGCTTTGGGGTGACCCTTTGTCCCTGGGGCGGCTGTTGCATAGTCTGGATGGCCCCTGGGAAAACTCTGCTTCCTGGTGGCAGAAAGGTCCCCTGGGGCCAGAGGACCGGAGCTGTCCACGATGGACTCCGTTCAGACTCCCCAGTGCTAGGCCGTGCAGAACTTTGAGCTAGACTTTGTTCTCTGTGAGACCAGCGGAGGTAGCGGAGGACGGGGACTGCTGCGCTTGTGGTAGCCAGTGTCGCTGAGGAGACACGCTGCAGCGTTCTGTGCTAGCTGGAGCGTCCCCAGGCCTGTGGGCCTCACGTCCATGTCTCCGCTCCGTGGCCCCACAGCTGTCGCTGAGCCAAGCCTTGCTCGTGTCAGAGTCTCCAGCAAGGAGCCTCCGGTGACTCGTTTCTCCCAGTTCCCTCCAGCTTGTCGCTTTCTTTCTGGGAATGGGGTGGCTGGAACTGGGCCCAGTGTCCCAGATGGGAGCTTCCCCTCCCTGCTCCGCGACTTGGTGCCTGTGCATGCCGCGCCCACAGCTACGCAGGGCTGCTTGGTCTTGTGATGGGAGACGAAACCAAACTGGTACCTAATCACTGCCTCTCCAGGAGCTCTGCCGTCCTGCTCCCTTGGTCTGGCCCCCCTTGAGAAGCTGGGAGTTTGGCTAATTCCCCAGGCTTCTTCGTTTGCCTTGATCCTAGTTGAATCTGGGGAAACTGGCTGCCCCGCTTCCTGTCTCTCCCCCTCATGTGCATCCCACAGGTGGAGTCACGGGCCCTTCCCTGGGGAGTCTGCAGGCCTAGGTAGGTGGCAGAGCTGAGCGTGTGCCCAGTGCCCCAAGCCCTGGGAGGGGGAAGGATCCCGCTGGGCGCTGTAGGGAGGGGTTTGAGTGAAGGCTAAGCCAGGAGAAGGAGACAGGTGGTGACGGCCCAGCGTGAGCAGCTGGGCAGGGCCTTTGTTGGTGACCATCTCTCTCCTGCTGGCAGAGCTGCTCGGGTCGAAGAGGAAACAGAAGCTGCTGTTAATCCACCAGGCCCTAACGAGCGACCCTGTGGCCGTGGAGACCCTCCGGGGGGCAGCGGTGAGCGAGGGGGGGCTGCTCACCGATGAGATCCGCAGGAAGGTCTGGCCGAAGCTGCTTAGCGTCAATGTGTACAACCTGCCTCCCAAGCCAGGTAGGGGGGCTCAACTCCCTGGTGTGTGGGGGTGCGTCTGTGCCCCAGGGCCTCGGTGCTGGGCTGGCCAGCGCCTTAACGGGTTCCAGGCACCGGGGAGTGGGGGGGGGGAGTTCTGATTGGCTGTCCCATGAGCAGGAAGTGCTTGGGTCTCATTTGCATGGTTGTTCTATGCGGAGACGCTATAGGCTAGTGGTTAGAGCAGGGGACCTAGGCGCCAGGACTCCTGGGTTCTCTCTCCACCTCTACTGCTGTCGCATCAGCACCCCCGTGTAATGGGGATCGTATAGATCTCCATGGGGCTAATTCATATTCATAAAGTGCTTACCTTACATTTCATCCTGCTTGGACGCTGGGAGAGCAGTGCATGCTGGGGCTTGTAGTCCCTGTGGGTGGCACCGTGGGAGTTGTGGGCTGGTGTGCCCAGAAGGTGTGTAAATATGTGTGGCTGCCAAGGCCCCCTGGAGTAGCCTGCTTGGGTCACTGCGGTAGCTGCTTCGCATATTGCGAGCTGCTGCAAACATCTGGCCCTTTGGGAGCTCCCAGGTGTTTACAGCAGCTGCAAAGCAAGGATGAGAGGTGTTGGCAAGGAGCTGCTGCCAGGGGCTCAGCGGGGCCTGGGCGCCTCGGCCTGTGTGCAGCAACCTCTGTGGTTCATTGTCGTAGTCGTGCTGGGCTTAGCAGCCCCTGAGCCTGACGGGGTGGGGTGCTGACTGATTCTCACCACCCTGGGCGTGGAGCTGTGACCCCCATTCTGCAGACCCTGAGCCAGGAGACAGACTAATGCCTGGGGAACATGGGGACCGGGCCAGAGACTTGCCCAAACCCAGATCAGAGCTGGGGTTAATGTCTGCCCTGTTAGCTCCGGCTGTGTGCTCTGCCCACTACTGTAGCTGGCACCAGTCCTCATCTCCGTGGCGTGCTC